TGGGTGTGGGTGTGGGTGTGGGTGTGGGTGTGGGTGTGTGGGGTGTGAGTGTGGGTGTGGGTGTGTGGGGTGTGGGTGTGGGGTGTGGGTGTGGGTGTGGGTGTCGTTGATGACAAAAATAATACAGAGACCAACACCCACACCCACACACCCACCCACACCCACCCACACCCACACCCACACACCCACACCCACACCCACACACCCACACCCACACCCACACACCACACCCACACACACCTACACCCACACCCACACCCTCATTCTCTTCAGTCGCACATCATATGTGGAGATAGTAAATAATTTGAGTTGCTTTATTTGGCAAATGCTTTTTAAATATACATCGAGCACAAATACAACAACAAAAAAGTTTCTCATGATTATCATATTTATCTAGTAAGGAATGAATTGTTTCTCAAAAAGAGTTTTCATCGATGTTTTCGGGCTTTTGGACCACATCGATGCTTAAATCTGTCGACTTTCGGTCGTTTAGATAATGTATTAAAACGTCCTAATCGAGCTGATTGTGCTTCGTTTTTCTTTTGTTCTTGTTTGATTTGATATATGTGTAATTCTTTGTCATCGGGATTGTCAATGATCAATGATGCTTGCGTTCGTAAAACGGGCAGTAAATGATACAGATTAGATTCACCCATTGACGGACGAAGAGTTAACCACAGATTACATTCCTCTCGACGCTTGGAAACTTCTTTTTCCAGCTGAAATCGATATTTCTAAGATGAAAAATTGGAAAAGGAAAATTCAAGAACAAGCTTTATGTGTAACGTACTAATGGTGACGAATCGAAGTAGTACAACCTGTCATATATAGATGGGATGTCTAGCGAAATCATATCAAAATATCTCGGCAAGCTATTCATGTATTCCCAAAAGTTGAATAGATGATTGTTTGAATGATCTGTTAACTTGTCATAGTCCGAGCGTCGAATAGCAGTATCTTTTTCGTTGATCGGCACATAAACACCTTTCCAAGCAAAGGCATTTGAGAAGTTATCAGGAAGAGATTGATTATTATCAGATTTATTTTTATTATCTTGAATGGATTGTAGGGTATTCCAGAGGTGACATTGTTGTTTCAGAGAAAAAAACGCAAAACAATACTTTTTCACCACTGTTAACGTATGATGGCACACTCGTCGACCGAAAACATGACAATGGGACAGAATAATCATGACTAGAGAGAAGATATCTTGGATTGTTTCGACATCATCTAAATCGTATTCATTTTTGGTCAGTGCTATAATGAGCTGAACAGCCGTATCACGAGCTTCCAAAACAGTTGCAGGGTGATATTTGACACGTTTGCTTCCATCGTTAATAGCGATCGAATTTGATCGAGCTAAATATATGCCTTTCAAAAGAGGAACAGATAGAGGATTTATACAAAGATAATCATATAACTGAAGCATGGCCAACACATTTACATCTTCTGGTAGTTCAGTAAACAAAGCAGATGGCTGTTCGGTAGTAATTGAACGAAGAATAGCCGTAAACCAAGTATAACGAATTCGAGAACTCAATACATATTCACCATTTTCGTTTTCAATTGATGAAAAATCATTTTTATGCGCTACGAGAGCAGATAAATAAGGAATACGATCAAGTTGCTCTTGCGTAAGATAAATAAGTTTATTGGAAGTGCCAAAACGGAACGGATATATCATTTCTTGATGTGCTTCACCAGTTTCAGATGATTCATTCATTTTTCGTAATGTCGATGTCATGAAACGATTAATTATAATGCATTACAACGTCAAATTTGTCTCGTGTGAGGAAGAAAAGAAAATGTTTTCTTTCTTTTTCGTTCTTTTATAGCATTGAGTCATTAACTATCGGTTTTTTCCAAGTATTTTTCTCCATAAGATTCTTGCCGATTGGAAGATTAAAGTTGGAATAAACCCAGTGTTATATTATACGAATCTTGTGAAATATATTGATACTGCTAAAATACTTTTCAACAAGGATCAATGTTTAACTGACATCTTTCGTCATTTTATATTTATCAAAACAGTTTATGTCAATTATTCATATGAATAAACCTTAAAGCAGAGGAGTTCTGATTTTGAATACAACAGCTGATATAAAATGTCGTCATTTTACTTTCCCTTGATGACCAAATCTATGTAAAAGTAGCTAAATAACTTTGATAAGTCCTGAAATCATTATGGAATATCTCCCCATTAATATTTTCCTTTTACTCACTGAGTTTTGCAGAGATAGAGTTGCATTATATATGTATAAGAAGTCGAGTTTGATAAATATCATCACATTATCACTTATAAAGTCAGATCTATACATATTCAATGTTATCTAACGAGGGAACCTTTTCAACTGTCCAATCGCTTTTGAGTTCGAAGTCAGTGTGAAAGATAGACCCCAGTGAGGTATGAAAAGCCCCAAAAGGATAAGTGCCCATAGGCCTTCTGTCCAGAGTTATAGGCATTTTACTGCATTTTTAGCCTATGGCACAGTATATACCAAAAAATCGAATGACAATATTTCGAGCTGAGATTTTCTCCAAAGATAGGTCTATGTACCAATAGAATGCCCTGAAAATTTCAGCTCAAAAGAATGTTTCAATCTCGAGATATTGAACACCCAAAAGGCAAAAAATTCTAGCATCATTCGCGGGATATGCGCGGTTTTTGAGAGTTTAATTTCCCGAGATTGAAACATGCTTTTGAGCTGAAATTTTCAGGGCATTCTATTGGTACATAGACCTATCTTTGGAGAAAATCTCAGCTCGAAATATTGTCATTCGATTTTTTGGTATATACTGTGCCATAGGCTAAAAATGCAGTAAAATGCCTATAACTCTGGACAGAAGGCCTATGGGCACTTATCCTTTTGGGGCTTTTCATACCTCACTGGGGTCTATCTTTCACACTGTCTTCGAACTCAAAAGCGATCGGACAGTTGAAAAGGTTTCCTCGTAAGTTAATGGTTTTCAATATTGCGTAGTATTGAAAAATAATATATCCTTTAAATTTATTTTTATTAACAGTCTTATATTCAAAGGTGTAAG